TATCCCATAAGTTTTGGTATGTTGTGCTTTCATTTTCATTTGACTCTAAAAAAAAGTGTGATTTCTTCCTTGATCCATTGATAGTTTAATAGTGTATTGTTTAATTTCTTATCTCTGTATATTTTCCGGGTTTTTTTTTCTTTCTGTTATTGATTTCTAGCTTCACTCCATTGTGGTCAGCGAAAATACTTTGTAAGATTTCAGTCTTTTTAAATTTATCAGGACTTACTTTATAACCTAAAATGTGGTCTGTCCTGGGGAATGATCCATGTGCACTGGAGCAGAATGTATATTGTGCTATTTTGGGGTGGACTGTTGTATCTACGTCTGTCAAGTCTAGTTAGTTCATACTGTCTTTCAGTCCCTGTGTTTCCTTGTTGATCTTCTTTCTAGATGTTCTGTCCAATATTGTTAGTGCTGCATTGAAGTCTCCAGCTATTACTGTAGTATAATCTATTTTTCGCTTCAATTCTGTGAGTGTTTTTTGTTTTATATATTTAGGTGCCCTGATGTTGAGTGCACATATATTTATGATTGTTAAATCTTCTTGATTAATTGACCCTTTTATCACTATTTAATGTCCATCTTTACCTCTTCTGCAGGTCACAAACTTTTAATCTCAAAATTTAGTACATGTTTCCTCATAGGCTTTGATTTTAATATTACAGAGACGTCTGAGGAGAGTTTTATTATTTATTGGTCAGCTGGTTTTCATGTGCTAGAAATGTGTGAGGTTTTTCTAATTAAAACCAGTTTCTAGTATATGTCTGGGTATGAATCTCTCCACTTTTACATTCTTTTAAGCTGCTAACCCTTGAGTTTGTTTGTTTATTAACTCAGTAACATTTTCTTCAATCAGATCTGATTATTCTTATTATTCTTATATGCACCTGCTCTGGCTACCTTGGGAATAAATTTTAATGTGTTCTCTACCCTCCAGATTTATTATCTTCTCCCTTGACATTTAGTGTCTTTATCTTTTTCTTTCATGTTCTGGGAAAGGGTCTCTACTGAGTTAGTCACTGGTTCAACTTTCCAGAGTCTTGATTTTGTCCTTTCTGCCTGTAAAACAAAGTTCACTTCTGCTTTTGCATTTTCGGTTTCCTAAATCTTCCTTAGAGCCTCTGGGTGGTGCAAATGGTTAAAATGCTCAGCTGCTAACTGAAAGGTTGTATGTTCTAGTCCACCCAGAAACACCTTGGAAGAAAGGCCTGGCAGTCTATTTCTGAAAACTCAGCCATTGAGAACCCTGTGGCGTGCAGTTCTACTCTGACACACATGGGATCACCATGAGTCAGAGGCAATTCTATGGCAACTGGTAACTGATAAGTCTTCCTTTATTCTATTCTAGTCCTGTTGTCTCTTCACTTCAGCCCAGTTTTCCTTATGTCTTTGTATTTCTTTTCCATAGAGGTGATCTTTTATGCATTTAAAGACAAACCTCTTTCTGGAGTATTCTTCTGGCTCCCATAGCAATGCAAGTGCAGGGCATACTGCTCCTCTGGTCTTCAGGACCCCATTCTTCCGTCTGCAGAATGTCTCAGAGGCCTTTGGTTGTCTCTTGAGACACCCAGGGTGAGGATTTGCCAACAAGAATGTGCTCCTGGTCTCTGACCCTTTTCGTTGCTCCTTTGGTAATGGTGGAGTCTCCTTCTTAGTTCTACCAGGTCAACAGCATCTAACCCAATTCTCATCATCCAGCCTTAACAATATAGCTCCACCAGACTGCAGTACAATCTTTCTCTTACTTTCCTTGCCTAGTTATCTGGCATAACAAGCCAGGAGTCAAAACCTGGGTGCCAACTGGCTGCGGCCAGCCCAGACCTTGTTTTGCTTGGCTTGCACAGTGTTCAATATTGATCAATTTAATGCTTAAGTCTCCAATTCACCACAGCACTCACCCCTCCCTATTGTCTTACGCCCAGCCCACTTTGTCACTGATCATTTCTGCTTCGTGCCTCAGTTTGTGACTCCTGTGCTATGCTAAGTGTCTAGAGCATGAAACACTTTCAACTTCAGTGCTCACTGCTACCAGGGCCCAAACTATTTGGGATCCCACCTCATCCCTTTAATCTCAGGGTGTCCCCTCCAGAGGTGGGAGTATTCATTTGGGCACCAAACCAAAACTAAACCTCTTACCGACAAGTCAATTCCAACTTATTACGACCCCCTGTGTGCAGAGTAGAACTGCCTCATGAGGTTTTCAGTGGCTGATTTTTCAAAAGTAGATCATGAGGCCTGTCTTTCAAGACACCTCTGGGTGGACCTGAACTGCCTACCTTTCGGTTAGTTGTCAACTACTTAACCATTTGCATCAGCTAAGAACTCCCTTATCTGTCACCAATGCACACATATTCACTGGGCACTAGCCATATACACCCGTCATACTTGGAGTCCTAGGTACAACACCGAAGTTTAAGTAAAGGAGAGTTATTCATGTTTCGCAAGAAGTGTTGCCAGCAGCCTGATAAAATCATTCTTTATCTTCATCTTGGTTCTCTGACTTCTCTCATCGTCACCTGGGATTTAATCACAGTGATCGTTGCTCTCTTCCTGTTAAGAACGTTGAGATCAGATCAGCAGAGCCGGTGGGAAAAGCCACTGTTTTGCTGTGTAACTTTGAACTATCTTAAATGCAAGACTATTTGAAGTAAGAAAATGTTCAATGCATAGGATGATTTTAGCTGGGAATTACCAAGCAGTTGGGCAAGCTATCACAAAGAAGTTAGGCTGACCTTGGTTTTCCAATATTCTGCTTATCTGGAGTTCTTAAGGCTTGGTGTCTAATGAACCACGAGGTCCCTCTCAAGGCCCCCTGGCCACCAGGGCACTGGTTGGAGAGCAGGACTTCATGAGAGATGGGCTTCTTTAGGCATTCGGAGAATCCTGACTCAGCAGACCAATTTTCCATCTTTTTTCAGACGAACGGGGGAGATACATCAGGGAACGCTGGGAACATCATGCTCAGTCTTCTTGGAGCATAAAGTTCGAAGGCAATAGCTTAACCACCTGCAGATGCGAGTAACATGGATGCGAAATAAAAATGCATCCCAACAGGTGTATTTGGCCCACTGCATGGTGATAGCATTGAGGTCAACAGTATCTTTCTGTTAGGATCCTCCATTCATCTGATTATTGAACATTTGTATGCTAGAATTTGTAACATGCTTTTCAACAGTTATTTCTCTTCTGCTAGTGAAATGACAGCATAAGCAGGGTTCAAGACTATGAAAATGCATGCTGAAACTTCTTTTAAGTACCATCTATACAACAGATGGAGCCCTGGTGGCTCAGTGGTTAAGAACTCGGGCTGCTAACCAAAAGGTTGGCAGTTCGAATTCACCAGCTGCTCCTTGGAAACCCTATGGGGAAGTTCTGCTACGTCCTATAGGGTCGCTATGAGTTGGAATTGACTCGATGGCAACAGATATACACCAGATATATCAAAGACCATGAAAATAGCACAAGACCAGGCAATGTTTTGTTCTGTTACACATAAGGTTGCCATGAGTTGGAGCCAACTTGACAGGAACTAACAACAACAAATACACCAAGTGCCTGGCAATTATAATTATTCACATGCAGGGAACGGCATAGTTAGCAGGAGGTCAGACCCTGACTTGGGTCTCTGTCCTGTACTCCCTTCAGTACTGGAGGCTTTTCAATCAACTGACTGAAACAGTTTTAAAGAAGCAAATCATGATTCTGAGAAGTCTAAAAGCATTAACCAATTGCTGAGCTCATAAAATGTTCCAAGAAGCTAATGCTGCTTTAATCATCTGGGGAGAAATAATAAATGCTTCCATTGGTCAGTGAGTCATGGCTGCCCTGTTTTACCCTAACCGGGGCAGAGACACTGCCGGTGACCCCACTGCAAGATCGGCTCACTTGAATCTTAGTCAATAAGAGCAATACATGGCTCTCCTTTAAAACTTGAGATTGATGTAGACAGGGAGTCCTTACAAAGGGTCACATGGAATCATTGCTTATGAAATGGCTGATCCGGCAAGCAGTGCTCATGAGATGCAGCTCAGATCTAGCACTCAAAGACAACAGCCTCGAATGCAATAAGGGCTGGTCATCACAGGGTTTAGATTGCGGGATCCTTATCCTTCCATTCTTTAATCACAGGTAAACCCAGGAGAAGGAGCACTGATGGTGCAAAGGAGCCCTGGTAGTGCAGTGGTTAAACATTCAGCTGCTAATCAAAAGATTGACAGTTCGAACCCACCAGCTGCTCCGCGGGAGAAAGATGTGGTGGTCTGCTCCCATAGGGATTATAGCCTTGGAAGTCCTGTGGTTTTACTCTGTCCCACAGGGGTACTATGGGTTGGAATCAACGCAACAGCAATGAGTTTCGGAGTTTTGTTTTAAGCCCAAGAGACCTGTGAGTTTGCACCCAAATCTCTATGTGCCAAATTAGCTCTTGCATAAACTTCACAAATAATTAATTTGGATTAAATTAGATGATTAGATGATTGTATAAGATGATTGTCCCTGGGTAGTGCAAACGGGAACGTGCTCGGCCAAATAGAGAGAGTATGGACTTTTTCTGTAGCTTATCTTTCATGCCATCACTTCCCACCATTAACGTGATACACTGATCATTTTGATGGCAATTTTGTTTCACTTTGTATATTTATTCAGAAAGCATGGGGCCCTACGAGTCGGAATGGACTCGACGGCGGTGGATTTGGGTTTGGTTATGTGTTGGGCAAGTGCATATGTTATACATTACGTATACAGATTAAATATAGAGTAAAATGAACGGAGGCAAGAGACTTCAGCTTTGCTGCATCACAAATTAGTTAATCGTATGCCACTAACTCCCAGCTTTGTAGCTAGCTAGTCAAATCACTTAACCTCTATGAAAAATCTAGAAGATTAGGGGCGTGGGCCAGAACATTGAACTCTGAAGTCCCCCCGAGACTAATACTTACTTACCTTCTATGAGCAGAATACAGCACTATTCATATGTCCTCCATCTGCTTGCTTTTCAGAAACGTGAAAATAAAAAGTGGACAATGGTTCTTTGAGGAAAGAGCCAAGAAATTTCCAACTGAAGGTAAATGCTCTTATTTAAAAATGTTTTTTTTTTTATTGTGGTGAAATTATACCAACAAAACATTTGCCAACTCAACAATTTCTCCATGTACAGTTCAGTGACATTGATTACCTCCTTCAAGTTATATAGCCATTCTCGATCTGTTTTCCAAATTATTCCACCACCATTAGACTAACCTCACTGCCCACTAAGCAATGACTCCCCCTTTCCCCTGCCCTCCCACCCCTGGTGACCAATGATAATCTTTGGTTTTTATATATTTGCCCATTTCATGTAAATGAGATCACACAGTGTTTGTTCTTTTTGCAACTTACTGAATGCTTTTAACATTTTACTGAAGTAAAAGGATGTATTCCCAGTTTTCAAACACTCGGAGTTAAGACTTGTAGATCTAGAAACTTTACAGGACTCAGTAGGTCGGCCCTTCCTCAGTCCTCCTGCCCGCTTTGTCCCATCTCCCCTGCCCCTGCACCCTGACTCCTGCATTCATTGGCTTTGCTGGCCAGGCTCCTGCAAACACCCCCAACCTGTCGAAATCTGCCCATTCTTATGCTCCGGGAAGTTTCCTTGACTTCCTGCTTCTGCGAGAGATTTCTCCCTGCTTTGAAACTCTGGGGGAGGCTTTAGAATACATGATCTAGGCCCGGCACTGGCAGCATAGGGTCTTTCTCTATGTTTTCTTGTTTCGTTTTGATTTTTAAAAGGATTTTGTGGCAGGGGTGGCAGGGCTGGGGTCTTCCTTGGGTGGTACATAGATTCTGTTTTTTTCTCTTCTGGGTTGTCCATCAGACAAAACCAAACCCATTGCCATCGAGTCCAACTCATAATGATCCTTCATCTCTTCCAGAATTGTGGCAAAGCAACTTATATGATGATTTGTGCACTTCTCTCTCTCTAAGCAGGAAATGTGCTTTTAAAAGCTTGCTCTGCTCTGCATAGCACAAAGCCCAACACTCTGCTCCTGCAACTTGTTCAAAATAACAATTGAATGAGTAACTGAAGACAGTGGCCGTGAATATTGTTAGACTGTGGCAGGTGCGGATGAGTTTGGATGAGCACATGCTGGGATTGTGTGAGAGGATTATGTATTGGGTCTGTACGCCATAAATTTTTTGTAAGTGTTTGCAAAGTATGATGTATCAGTGTAGTGGGTGGCTAGAACGCAAAGCGCTGGGGAGAACAAATGGTGCCTGGTTACAAAAGTGCTGCGTCAGAGGGTGTGAGCAGTAAAGACATAGAACATAAAAGCCCAGACAGCTGAAGATGGACAGACATGTGCTGCATTAAGATCATGTGGCGCCAGCCTGCTGCATGAGCCAAGTAGTCTGTAGGGTCACACGGTGGCACAAACCTCCTCTGTGACGTGTGATAGCGGGGGCCACACGCAAGGGAACCTGGACCACAGGCTGACTTAGAGGGGGCGAGGTGGCTCAAAACACAGGTATTCTGTGAACAGTGGCAATTTGAGGTAGAAACAAGCCAGTTAGCCTTTACCGAGAATTGTTGGTAAGTAAAGGAATTCATCCACTCGAGTGTTGATAATCCAGCTGCTGTTGAGTCAACTCCGAATCATGGCAACCCCATGTGTGTCAGAGTAGAATAGTGCTCCATAGGGTTTTCAATGGCTGAATTTTTGTAAGTAGATGGCCAGGCCTTTCTTTTGAGGTGACTCTGGGTGGACTTGAACCTCCAACCTTTCAAGTAACAGCCAAGAGCATTAAGTGTTTGCACCACCCAGGGACTAGGTACATATTCAGCAATAGCAACATACCGTCTTTCTCTAACTTTTATTGCTTTTTTTTTTAAAGACTTTTTTGTGTGTGAGAGGGCAGGGCCTTCTTCAGGTGGTACATAGATTCTACTTTTTTTCACTTCAGTTCAGAGTTCATTAACAACAAGACTATAGGGAGTCACCAAGTCAGTGAGGATATCTGCTTCACTGGAATGTTTTATACATCATTGGACATTTTATTATCAATGTTTCAGTTAGGTAAACGGAGTTTCAGGCCAGAACATGCGCGCACGCACGTGAGTGTGTGTGTGTGTGTGTGTGTGTGTATGTGTGTGTGTTTTACCATCTTGCTATCTTTTCAGCACCTCTTGCTCTTCCAAGCAAGCAGGAGAGAGTCGGTTATCCCGGCGACTTACTTCAGAGAAAAAGGGAACTTGGAAAGAGCTGAGACTGACCTCAGGAGGGGTCTCTTCTTGTCCAGTAACTTTCTAGGAGAAGGTTCTAGAGTAATGAATATCAGCCTAAGCATGAATCATTCTTTTTTGTTCTTTTTCTTCTCAAAGTATAAAACAAAACAAAACAAAACAAAAAGCAATAGCAACAGCAAAACAAAAAATCTGTTCCTTCCTTCTCTACAGTTCCTCCCAAATAGTGAAGTGTTTCAGTTTGGTAGAGCTGGGTTTGCAAGGTGTGGAGATATCAAGAAATGTACCGTGAGCACAGGTGAACCGACCGCAGGGTGGGGTGGAGTGTGATCGTGATGAGACAAAGGTTTTACGTATAGGCAGGAAGTCTATCTAAAAGAGAACCTGATACAATAACTGATGAACTGAATTTGTGTGCTGTACGAGCTAAGCACTTCCATTTCATATGACAGAAACTGCATGATGTTTTTAACAAAAAGAATTTCTTTAGGGAGTTGGTTGTTGTTAGGTGCGATTGAGTTGATTCCAACTGATGGTGACCCCATGTGACAGAGTAGAACTGCCCCATAGGCTGTCCTAGGCTGTAATCTTTATAGGAGGACTGGAAGGCAGAAAGGGAACACCGAGGGAACCCAGAGATAGTAACTGCAGGAAGCAAACGCAACCCCCAGGGCCACTGCTGAGTTGAAGCTGAGAGGAATAGCAGGCAAGTGGGAAGGAGCGAACCCCTTCTCCCTCCTCCTGTCTTCCGGTCTCTCTATAGCACCCATATTGGTGGTCTCTGGGTGCTGCACATGGTTAAGCACTGGACTGCTAACCGAAAGGTTGGTGTTCAAACTCACCCAGAGAGCACCTCAGAAGTAAAGCCTGGCCATCTGCTTCCGAAAGGCCACAGCCTTGAAACAACAACAACAGGGAACCAGCCGCAACCTCAGTTGTTTGATGTGTTCAAGAAAAATTGTGATTTTGCATATTATCTAGTGTTTTTGTTGTTGTAATGATGGGAACAGGGTCTTTCCAGCTTTCTACATACTAAGTGGAAGCTAGAAAAGAATGGTGGTTTAAACTATAAAGGGGGACATGATAGCTCACATCTATACCTCTTTCTATGCGTTAGTTAAGCCCTAAAACTTAGTGGCTTCAAAGAATTCACCTAATTATTTTATATGGTTTCTATCTTCAACTGAAGGCTTGATTGGGCTGGAGGATCTGCTGGTTATTGGCAGGAGGAGGCAGTTCCTAGCCATGTGGACTCTCCATAATGCTGCTTGAGTGTCCTTACAACATGGAGCTTCTAAGTGGTCTGACAAAGAAAGACAGAGCCCGCAGTATCTTTTATGACTTAGTTTCAGAAGGCACACTCTGTTATTTCTGCTGTATCGTATTGGTTACACAGGTCAGCCCTATTCAGGGTTGGAGGGGTCTACACAAAGATGTGAATACCATAAGGCAGGAATCATTGGCAGCTATCTCGAAGGCTGGTTACCACATTTGTATTCCATAGCTTGGGAAAAAGGCAACAGCTCTCTTTCCATCTCCCAATCCACAACCTGAGACTCGTACTTGACCCTTCCCTCTTTCTCATCCCCACGCCATAGCTAATCAGTCACCAAATCCTGAGAATTCTATCTCCCAAATCTTTCAACTCCCCCTCTCCCCTTCAATCTCACTTCCATTGCAGCAATTTTAACTGTTCTCCGTGGGCTCCATCTGCCTTGTCCTATATTCCATTCTTCATTCCGTGAAGAGACAGAACTGTCTTTACTCTTTTAAATAAGCTATATATTTTCTGATTATAGAAGTAATGCATCCTCTTTGCAGAATATTTGGGAAACTCAAAACAATATATGGAAGAAAGTAAAAAAATCATGCCAATAGTCAAAACTACTGTTAATTTTATTTCCAAAATATTCTGCAATGAAGATATATAACTTCTATAATTAGAAAATATATCACTTGTTTTAATATATATCCTTCCAGGTGATCATGTGCATTTGTCTGTGCACATGCAGATTTATCAATTTCTAAAACATATTTACAATCAGATCTTATATATGGTTTTTATCCTGCTTTTAAAATTCAGTTTAGCATAAAAACTTCCTATACCATTAAAGCTTCTTCCAAAATATATTGACGGCTGCATAGAAGACATCAGATGTGTGCCCTGCAGTTTATTAGCTGGTTATCTAACCTATTCACTATCGTTGGTGAGTATGTCGTTGTATTCCATTTTTCATATTACAGATAACTCTGTGATGAACACCTGGTACAGGTATCTTGGCATCTCTGGTTATTTCCTTCAGACAGATTCTTAGCGGAAGAGTGACTGGTCAATGCGTGAACCCTTGAAAGGCTTTTGATGTGTCTGGGAAGTTTGTGCTTGTTTGCACTCTCCTGCCGGAGTATGGGGGTCTCTTCTCGCCGTTCTCTGGCCCACGTTAACATCTACCACTTGCAACATGATTTCAAATTACAGTTATGATTTTGTTTGAATATGAAAGTAATATCTATTCATTTAAAAAATTGGAAAATGAACAAAAGCATAAAGAGTAACGGTAACAATACAGTAACTTCACCCAGAGAATTACTGTTAACTTTTTGTTATATACCGTTTCAGTTCTTTTGTGCGTATACGTGTCTGTGTATATATGTGTGTACACATACCAAAACCAAAGGTGAACCCATTGCTGTTGATTCCGACTCATAGTGACCCTACAGGACAGCGTAGAATTGCCTCATAGGGTTTCCAAGGAGCGACTGGTGGATTCGAACTGCTGACCTTTCGGTTAGCAGACAAACGCTTAACCACTATGTCACCAGGGCCCTATGTACACACACACATA